CTCCAGCATACACCCAATTATGGTCTCGGGTGTAAGGCGACGGTTGGTTGTTGCCTCTGCTGCCTCTCTTTCCGCGCGGAAAAGCGGACACTCGAAGAAGGCGTGTTCTGCATCCGCAACGGATGCACCGCCGCAATAGTCGCAGGATGGGTCGGCCTCGTGCTTGAATCTGTGAAGATAGGCCTTGAAGCATCCGTGGCCCGTGATCAGCTGCGTTGTGTAGAAGTCTACTTGCCCGTGACGTCTGTGTATCCACTGATCCAGATCGGGGATGAGCCGATGTGTCCAGCGTCCAGTGCTCGCGTTATCCCACCTCGCCTGCCACCTTGCGACAGTGGTGCTCCTCTGGGTTCTGCTGCCCGAGTTACCGGTCCTGCGTTCCGCTGCCAGCAAGTCGATAGGGATCGATCCGGCTACCACCAGCGCAGCTTCTTCAGAGACCGTGCAGAAGCAGCTGGAAATGCGCAGCGCGCAGCGTCGATACACCGTCCTGCATTGGCGGCTGTAGCTCGCAACCAGCATGGCCTCCGACCATATCGGTGCGGCGTAGAGTAGGGTTGACGTCACGACTGTTGATATCAGCTGTCTACTGTGCTGCCTAGGACCGCGCGTGTTGGCCATCATCCTCGAGATGGCGGCAGTGGCCTTGGACGCCTTGGCCGCTGCGTACTCCAAGTGACACTTGTAGTTGAGCCTGTGGTTGATCAGGACCCCAAGGTATTTAACCGTCGGGCTTGACTCGATGGTGGTCGAGCCGACCCGGAAGTTCACCTTCTCGACAACCTTTCGGCTACTGATAAGTACGGCCTCCGTTTTCTGCTCGGCAAGGGAGAGACCGTTGTCTGCTAGCCACGACATCAGAATGTCTATCGCATGGCTACATTTAGTAGAGACGTCTGATAGGTGTTTCTCCACCGTGACAAGTGCGATATCGTCTGCAAAGCCAATTACAGAGCAACCTTCGGGTAGTGGCAGCCTCAGTATGTCGTCATACATGACGTTCCACAGAAGTGGCCCGAGGACTGAGCCTTGGGGTACGCCTCCTGTCACGTGATGTATCTGGTTTCCGGCGTCGGAGCTGTATAGCAGGACGCGGTCCTTGAAGTAATCGGCAATCAGCTGGATAATGTAGCCAGATATGCCGCCACGCTGGAGTGCTTGGAGGATTAGACTCCAATTTGCAGAGTTGAACGCGTTTTTGACGTCCAAGGTGCATACGAGGCAGTACTTCTTGGAGCCTCCTTGCCATCTTTCGCCTTTAATGGCATTTTCCGCAAGCTGTGTTACCTCGCGGATCGCATCAATAGTGCTTCGCTTCTTGCGGAAACCGTGCTGATGGGTTGATAGGGCACCGCGCTCCTCGATTTCCCTCTCTAGTTTGTTGCCTATGATGCGCTCGAATATTTGGCCAATCGTATTCAGCATGCATAGGGGCCGAAATGAGGACGGGTCGTCGTTCAGCTTGCCGGGCTTCGGGATGAGCACGAGTCTCTGCTGCTTCCAAGCTCTTGGAAAGGTTTTCTCAGCAATGCATATGTTATACAGCTGCACAAATAGCTTCGGATAAGCCTTCACTATGGCATGCAGAGCTGCATTGGGAATGCCATCTGGTCCGGGGGCCTTAGATGCTTGGCAGCTTGTCAGCGCGCTAAGGACTTCCTCTTCGCAGGTGGGGATCGGTTCGCCCGCAGCCACGATGGGTAGTCTTAGTGGCGGCTGTGGCGGGAACAGCGTGTCAACTATTGTTCCCAGATGCTGCTGGGAGGTTGGAGTCGGCTGCCTGGTTAGCTTACCCGTAACCATTTTGTAGGCTGAGCCAAACGGTTCTTTGTCAGCCGCATCGCAAAGCTCCTGGAAACACTTGTGCTTGCTAGTCCTGATCGCCACCTTGAGGGCCTTTTTCATTTCCCTGTACCGTGACTCGTACAGCTCCTGCGTGGTGCGTCCTCGGCTTCTTTGGCATTTCCGCCTTGCAGCGAGACATTTGCCTCTGGCTGAGGCTATTTCCTGGTTCCACCAGGGGACTGGTCGCCTTCCGCCTCCCTTGGTGGATTTCTCCATTGCCGCGTCGCAGGCTGCCTTGATCCTGGCGGATATGACATCCCCGCAGGTGTTTGCCTCGCCTGTAATGGTGTTGGCATCCATGCAGCTTAGGAGCACCTCGGAGTTTAGGGTGTGTACCCTGTAGGCAGTTTCCCGGCTGGTTTGTTGAAGCTGATTTTGTCTCGTTTGGAAGACGATTGCCGCGTGATCGCTATAGGTGAGCAGGTGGGTGACTTCCCAGTAGCTGTTCCTGGTGAGCTCCGGACTGGCGAAGGTCAGGTCAATGTATGACTCACGACCTGACTTGCTAAATGTGCATCTTCTTCCATCATTTAGTAGGCAGACATCCAGGGTGGAAAAGGCGTCAAGGATGATTGTTCCCCGCTGGGTCGTTCTCGTACTCCCCCAGGCTGTGGACCATGCATTAAAGTCTCCAGCGATTATCACCGGTGACCGTCCGCGAGCATCTTGGGCGATCTCTTGCACTATCTCCCTGAACTCGTCTGTGTGCAAGCTCGGGGCTAGGTAGCAACTGTATATGGTTGTCCCTTGAAACTTAGCCCTGGCATAGCCAGGCCTCGTCGCCCTCTGCGCTAGGTGGCACGGGGGCTGCCCGCAGCTCCAAATGGCTGCCCGCAGCTCCAAATGGCTGCCCGCAGCTCCAAATGGCTGCCCGCAGCTCCAAATGGCTGCGCCGCCATTGGTGCTTTGCTGCCAGACTCCTTCTGGTTTTGGCCGGTAGGGCTCGCTCAGTATAGCGACGTCGATGTTCTGCTCGCTGACCGTCTGGGACAGTAGATCTTGGGCTGATCTACAGTGGTTAAGGTTGAGTTGAAGAACCCTAACCATTGATATTGTTTTTGGCCGCCTTCACGTACTCGGGGCAGATCCTGCTCAGGGTCGCGTGCTCTGCGTCTCTCGCAGTCTTGCCACCTCGCGTGCATAGAATGCATCTGGGCTTGCCCTGGCACGTATAGTGCTTGTGGCCGGTGCCTCCACATTTAAAATATGCTTCCTGTGTGGCTTTGGCCGTAGCTTCAGAAGCGCGGCATCTTGCCGAGGTGTGACCGAAGCCCATGCACTTATAGCAGCGCCTCGGCTCCAATTTCTCCCGGATGCGGCATACTACCCATCCAATTCGGATCTTGCCCTTCTCGAGCAGGCTCCGCGCGTGCTCGGGTCTCAGGCTTACCGTCGCAATTTACGTTCCTCCAAACGCTTTCCGCATTCTGGGCGCAGCGTCGCTTGGGATGTCGCAGTCCTCTCCCGCAAACAGTGCCATTGTGACCTCCTCCCCGCTGGTCAAGTCATCAAGATCACGGATCTCCACCTGGACCGTCTCCTGCATGACGGTCACCTTCGCCTTGCCGGAGATGGCCGTTTTGAGGGCCGCTTGCAGCTGCTGTGTGGATGGGTCGAGGGACTTCTGCATCCGTACAAGGAGTCCGCCATTGGCAGTCCTTCGCAGGCCTTGCACGCCTTCCTTGAGTCCTTGGAGTGAGGGCTCCGTCTTAACAATACTCAGCATGTCTGCATAGGATCCTTCACTGTACTTAATCAGGATGGCATCGGAGCGCTGCTTCCTGGGCTTCATGGTGCGAGGGGCCTGCTCCTCTTTTTGGGCTCTGCTCTCCGCCATTGCGTGGGGTGCTTTGGGCTTTGGCTTGTGCTTGACCTGCTGCCATGCCGTAGTTACACGGCTGCTCGCGGGTGTAGCACTAGGGGCCGTGCCAGACAGCGTGGGGGTGGTCTGCTGGCTTGCGCAAGCCGTGGAGCCCTTGGTGTGGCCGCCGGCCAATGACGCGCTGATGTCAAGCTGCAGCTTCTTCATAGCGATCATCGCGTCGATCGTCCCCCTGCGTAACGTGGCGGACCACCTTCTTGTTGATGCCTTTCGTGTCGGTGAACTTGGTCACCATTTCGTCCAGCATTGCGCCCAGTCTCTCCACTAGAACGGCCGTGTTTGCTTCGACCCTTTGCTTCTTGTTGGCCCCCGTTTGCTTTCCATCAGGACTCGCTGCATCCCGGAATCTCTTGGGAGTGGCCACCTCTTCCTCTTCTTCGCCGAAGGTGAATATCGGCGCATGCACTTTCGGCGGCGCTGACATCGGGTACGTCTCGTTGCTGCCCGCGGGTGGCGAGTGGTGCACCTTTCGCTTCGTCCTTTGGAAGCTTAGCAGGAGCTCCTCCTCAGCTGTCGCTATCGCTAGGGCCTGGGTCTCATCGTCCCGGCCTGTTGGCTTAGCCTTGCTCATCGCACCTGCTCCTTTTTTGGTATCCCTCGGTGCACAGGGATTTCCCCCAGCGGATGCTTGATGGGAGTTATACCGGTCCTTCTCGGTCCCCAGAGCCCCTTTTGAGGCCGCCGCAGCGGAGGGGTTGGATGATGGCCAGATCCGCGGCCTTCTGCCTTTTTTTCCCAAGTGGGGCCAGGTGCGGAAACTGGGACCGTGTAGATTGACCTTCCAGCTGTTCGTGCAAGTTGCGGGTTAAATTAAAAGGCCAACACTTGGCTTAGCTTTTAATTTAAATTTTCGAATTTGCGCGGGCTGTTCTCGTTTTCCAACACTACTAGAGGTAGGGCGGGAAGCTTGGCCGCGAGCGCTTTTCAACACTAAATGTGTCGTGCTGTTAAGCGCGGCTGTAGAAGCTCCTGCGTTGGCGTTGCGCAACACTACGATCAGCTGCGATCAGCTATGTGTGTGTGCCAAAAGAAAACGCGGGGGAAAGAAAACGGCTCGTGGAAAGTGGAAACCGCGAAAGAGTAGTGAAAGTGGAAGGTGTGTGTGTGTGGCTTCATGCCAAGTGATGTGTTTTTTTTTTTTTTTTATTCCATTTATTTAACAACTTAGCATATAAACAAATAACAAAGAATAGCGAAGACTACGGGTTTTTTTTTTGGTTGAAAGGTGCATTGTTTATTCGATGTAGAGGGCCATGGTCGCGCGGTACCGCCGCTAAGCATTCCTTCGCATGCTGGAAACCAGGCTGTCTGCCGTGATGGCCGTACCCACAGCCTCCTCCAGCGCTTGCCGCTCGTGATGAAAGCGATGGCACTCGAAAAGGACGTGGTGTGCGTTCTCTTCTACACCGGTCCCGCATTCTGGGCAGTGATCCTCGGTGTCGTGACCGAATCGCATAAGATAGCTTCTAAAGCATCCGTGACCGCTGAGCACCTGCGTCAGGTAGAAGTCCACTTCTCCGGGCTTCCTACTAAACCAGCTCATGATGTCTGGGATCAGGCGGTGAGTCCAGCGACCTTTAGGATTTTCTGGCGCGCCTTGGAGGCGGGCTTCCTGCACAAGTTCACCTAGCGGCACCAGCCCCGCAGCGACTCGGGCCGCTTCGTCGGAAACCGTCCTGAAGCCGCACGCTACTCTCAGGGCGCACAGGCGGTTGATATCTTCCGCACCCCTCACGTAGCTTTTTACTTTCGCGGCCTCCGCCCAGATTGGGGCCGCATAGAGGAGTTGCGAAGTGACGACACTCGTGAGCAACTTCCTCTTGCACTGCTTGGGGCCTCTGGTGTTCAGCAGGATTCTAGAGAGAGCTCTTGATGTTTCGCTAGCCTTTCCGTGGATGTATTCCAGATGTTCTCTATAGCAGAGGCGGGTATCCAGGAAGACGCCCAGGTACCTTATCGGTACCTTATTGCGAGGTAATTGGCAGGCCGCCAACCCGGATCTCGGCCGTTTCCACGCGCTTCCTGCTAGAGATCAGCATTGCTTCCGTCTTGTGTGAGGCCAGTTCAAGGCCAGCGACTGCCAACTCAACCGCTCGGATTGCGCTGTTTGCCGTTGACTCTGCCTCTGCCAGCTCCTTCGCTACGACCACCAGCGCCACGTCGTCGGCAAAAGCCGACTATGGTAGTGTTTGCGGATAGCGGGAGGTTTAGTACTCCGTTATACATTGTATTCCAGAGCAGAGGTCCCAAGACGGAGCCCTGCGGGACTCCGGCTGAGACCTCGTGCGATCTGGTGCCCATGGAGGTATCCAGCATGAGTGTCCGCTCGCTGAAGTAACTGCGGATAATCCTTAGTAGGCTGCAAGGGCCTCCAGTGTCCGCCTCCAGTCCGCAGAATTAAACGCGTTCCGGATGTCTAGCGTTACCACTAAGCAGTACTCCTTAGCGCCGTTTTTCCATCTTGTGCCTGGCGTCGATGGCGTCCAGAGTCGATTTCCGTTTCCGGAAGCCGAACTGGTTTTTCGAGAGTCCACCAGCGCGCTCTATTGCAGCCTCTAGCCTCGCAACGATAACCTTCTCGAAGACTTTCCCGATCGTTTCCAGCAGACAGATGGGTCTGTACGACGAACGTGCCTTCCGAGAGGCACTTATTGAAGGTCTCGACGATCACCTTGGGATGCAGGGAGAGCAGCATTTTGGTCGCCCTGTTAGGGATCGAGTCGAGACCTGGTGCCTTCTTATTATTTAGGGTCCTCGCAGACTCTAGAATTTCCTGTTCCGAGACCGGGCATATCTCCAACGAGTCGCTGCTCACAGGGTAGTACAGCGGCTGTCCAGTTGGGAGAAGCACCCGAACTATTCCTTCGAGGGCCTCCGGGTCCGAAGGGGCATTGCTGCCGGCGTTCACGCGCTTCACCACCTTTTTATAAGCCCCGCCCCATGGGTCCTTCTCGACGTCGTCGCAGAGCTTAAGGAAGCACTCTCTCTTGCTGGTCCTTATCGCATTCTTCAGGGCGGACCTTGCGGACTTGTACGCCTCGCTTCGGGCTAGAAGGTTCGGAGAGCCGCGCGCTCTCTGGACAAGCCTCCTAGCTCGGAGGCAAGATGAGCGTAGGGTGGCTATGTCGTCGTTCCACCAGTAAACAGGCTTGTGGTGCTTCCGGAATGTTTTCAGTTGCTGCATGCTTGCGTTGCATGCACGATCGACAGCGACCGCCAGTTTAAGCGCAGCATCGTTGGCGCTGTCCGTATCGCCGGTGGCTAGGCCCGCTAAGGCGCTCGAGAACGCGTGGGGGTTGAGCGTATCCTGCCGGTACGCCTTGTTTGCGCTGGGCGTGACCGTTCTGCGGGGTGGGTTCTCGCCGAGGGAGACGACGATGGCCTCGTGATTGCTGGCTGTGTAGATCTCGCTGATCCTCCAGCTGGCTTGGCAGGCTAGTGCACTGTTTGCGTACGTGAGGTCTATAATGGACCCCGCTCCCGCTCTGTTAAAGGTCTGCTGGGTACCCTCGTTGAGCAGAGCAATATCCAGGGTGGCGAAGGCCTCCAGGATGGTGCGGCCTCTGGCATTGGTTGAGGGCGACCCCCAGTCCTGGGCCCACGAGTTGAAGTCGCCGCCCACGGTTGTGTTGCTCCGTCCCCGGATGTCATCGCTGAGCTCGTCGATGATGCAGCTGAACTCCTCCATTGTGAGGCTCGGTGCCAGGTAGCAGCTATACACCCACACCCCGCCTACTTTAGCGCGAACGAAACCATCCGCCGATCTGACGTCGGACATGTGCGGGTTCCCGCCCACACATCCATAACGCAGCCTTGCCAGTACGGTCCGTGGCCCAGCCGAGTGTGGTAACCGCCTTGTATGGCTCGCTGAGCACCGCCACATCCGCGTCCAGGTCGCGCACTGTCTGCATCAGCAGATCATGCGCAACCCTGCAGTGATTCAGGTTCAGCTGAATCAACTGCATGGCGCGTTACGAGGACCGACGCCACTGCTGTTGGAGCTCCTGAACGGGCAGCTTTTGCTGCCTGCCTGGTGCCTCGTCTTGTTCTTGCCGGAAGCAGCGCAAAGGAAGCATTTCTGCTCGTTGGGGCACTTTGCGGCTTTGTGTCCACTCTCCCCGCATCTTATGCAGCACCCACTCCGGTCAGTAGCGCTTTTGCAGTTTGAGGCCAGGTGGCCAGCCTCGAGACACCGATAGCATCTTGGGGGGCCCGTCCTTTCCCTGATCGTACAGGAAGTCCAGCCTATGCGCAGAGAACCTCTCTTGAGCCGGGTGATGTGTGAGTGTGTGTGGCTTCATGCCGGGTGATGTGTGCGTGTGTGAGTGTGTGTACTTACCCTTCAGTTCCATTCCTCAACGATTCCCCTACGATTCCTCATCGTCGACGAATCTTGCGGGAATCGCTGGGGGAATCGTCGAGGAATCGCACGGGAATCGCTCTGCGAATCGCAAGGGAATCGCTGGCGGCAATCGTCGAGGAATCGCTGGGGGAATCGTCGACGAATCTTGCGGGAATCGCTGGGGGAATCGTCGAGGAATCGCATGGAAATTGCTGGGGAAATCGTCAAGGAATCGCACGGGAATCGCTGGGGGAATCGTACGGGAATCGCTAAGGGAATCGTACGTACAAGTTCGATCTGGAAAAAAGATATGTTTTATAAATATTTCATTTTTATTTATAAATATTATACTTACAAACGAGGCCTTAGTCTCCGGGCGTACCTCCAGCTCTAGAGCAGCCAACCCTTCGTCACCTTGGACCGGGAAATCATAGTTGACTGACATGCCTTTAGCCTTTCCCTTTAGGAAGACCTCTAGCATGCCAGACAACTTTGACACCTGGAAGGTGCATTGGGCCAACTCTCTGCATGTGGATTCCAACACCTTCGTGTTGGCCTCCAAAATCGTAGAGTTGGCCTCTAGCTTATCCTCCAGGGCCCGGACCCGCAGCGTTAGCTGCTCATTCGTTAAGTTCTGCTTGGGCTCTGCCGGGGCTTCCAAGGAGTCGTCCAACAAGTCATCTCCTAAAAAAAGGAATTTATGTGAAAATGAAACAATTATATTTTATTAGATTTTATTTTACTTACGTTCGACATGGTACACCCTTTTTTGAATTTCATTGTGTGGCTCCGACATCTGGTGTATTAAAAAACAAATCTGAAAATAAATATTTTTGATTTTGTGACTTTTTATTTTTTATTTTTTTTTTATTTGAATAAAATACGTTTTTTTTTTTTTTTTGGTTATCGAACCATGGAAGGTGAATCTTCTAAAGATACCTTAAACGCCGTCGCTTAAGGGGGGATATACATGTAAACCAAAATTTTTTTGGCAAAATTTTTTTTTGGTTTAAAAAATAGTTTATTACTTAAAGAACATACTTTGAAAGTTTCATTATCGAATTCCAACCTTAAGTGCCTCAAATCAAGTATGAACGCAAGGTATACAAGTGTAAACGTGGGCGCATCAAAAACTATTTGAACCTACATGGTTGTTATAAAACTGAGTATTACTATTTTTTAAGAGGGTGGGAAGTGAAAACTGATCACCTGAAAATGGCATATTTTCCTTCAAATCAAAATGTAATTTTTTTGTCTTGATTTCTTTTTGGTTTTTTAGGTTCAAATAGAAGATAAAGGTGTAATGAATACAAAAAAATGTAGTTTACGGATTTCGGACAGGAATTACGAGCTCTATCGTGTCCATAGCACGGCAACTCAAAGCTCGAGGCGCTACGGCGTATGTTCCATAAATCCGACATTTTCTAAAATATTGTTTATTACTTATACTTATTTTTTTATTAATCTTTGATTCTACTTTTAACTATCTCCAAAGTTTCATGACGATTGCTTGACTATTTCTTATAAAATAAAATTCACGAAAAATTGCCAAATTTTGACCGTTTACATGTATATCCCCCCTTAAGGTATGCCCGATTCATATTGAAAAATACTCCTACTGACTAAACACCTCCGAAAAAAAAGGATAAAATTAACAAAGGGAGAAAAACCCTACGAAAAATGTAAATACGGAACTAATACTAATTCCCCCTTATATGGCATCGCTACAGCTTTCCTAACCTTATCTATGACTCTAAATCTTTCTATTTCTGATGCCATATTTAATCTACATAAACAAATACCTAATTCTAAAGAGGAAACTGGAATTTCAAAAAACCTACCGAAATCTAAAAAAAAAAATTTTTTAATAATTATTTTTATATTTATTTTCATGAAAAATTATTTTTTTAAAAACGAACACTTTATATTAATTTAAATATAAATATTTGTTATATTATTTTTATTTTTTGTAATATTTTTTTTTTTCAGTGCAGTCAGTTTAACGGACTTCGACTTGCACATTCTTGTCCCGTTATGTTCTACCATTGGATTCCGTTTTAAGGCGCTTTATATTTTAACCTAGATTTAAGGCGTTTTATTTGTTAATGATAATTACCGGCCGCACTTGCATTTAAATTGTGCGTACATATTTACCGCGCGGAAACAAGCGTCATTAAAACAACAAATTTATGTTATTATTTATTATGCCGCAAATGCAGTTATGCGCGGTCAACGGAATCCAATGTTTTTATTATTTTGTTCACATAATAAAAAAAACCAAATCACTGCACTTACCTGATTTAAATGAAAAATTTAGTCAACTTTATGACAATTTAAATGGATTTAATAAATTTGAATCACAAATCACTTGCACTCTGCCAAGGCACTTCAACTCAAATGCAACGAACAAGGGGAGGAGAAAGACGAAACCGAAAACTGATGGCGAAACTCTAACGCGTGCCGGGTATACCCGACCAAAGTAATGCCTTGTAATTTGCACAACGTAAGACAAAAAATCAAATATGAACATTTTGGCTATGTCAAAACCCAATTTTTAATATGTGCCAATATATCATTCAAATAAATAAGTAAAATCTCAATCAATAAAATCTTAAATATATATTTATATCCCAACTTATTTTAGAAAGAGTATTCTTATGTCGCTACAATACAATTTGTTTTTTATTCAAATTTTTTTCCCTCCCTTTCCTCCATCTCCATCTCTCTCTAATGTGCGAACAGTAGCAAAACGCTACATCGCGCTGCTCCGAATTAGTTCGAAAAAAAACAACAACTTTGAAAAGCCAACTTCGCGAAACACGCAGGTAGAATTTGTTTCGGCTATTTTGTTTCGAACTTCGCTGAACGAGGCCCATGTAATTTGTTTTTGTTTTTCGCACATGCCGCGAGGAATCGGACGGGCCAGGAATTCTGGAACTGAAGGGTAGTTTATAATTAATTCTAAGCTTAAGATAAGGTATAGTATTATTTACATGTTAAGTATTTACAAGGTTTGTGACGACCAGCCGCGTCGTCACACGCTTATTGTTTCGCTTACCGTTTTCCTCTCGTTAATCGTTTGATCGTTTACCGAATTTCGCCTACCGCACTAAAACCCTCTTGAGATTTTCTTGTTTTGCTTAGTTGCTTGTGTTTTAAAAGCGTCGAAAATACTAACACACAGTAATGAAAATTTAATTGATTTCCAGACTGATGAGTCTCTGATATGCAACATTTGCAACGGACCAGTAATTAATCTGATGTGGTTGAAACTCGTTGTAAAAATTCTTTCCACAAGCTTTGCCTCGACAACTATCTCAAGAATAATGACAAATGCCCTATTTGGGGCCAAACATGCTCTCAGTCTGACTTAGGATCTCAATCGGCTCTTCCCACTACATTTCAGGAAAGCAAGATAAAAACCCGTTCAGCTTCTCGAATCCCAGCGAAGCAAAGCGGAGTACATGATCTCAGTTCGTTTCAGGAGATTCGTACCGAGGATAACTCAGATTCGAGGATTGTGACAGAAGACCGCGTTGAACAATTAATTCAGAATTCAATGCAGGCCTTTCAAGCTAATATTCTACAATCAATGACGGATCAAATAACTATGGCATTCACTCAATTGAATAGATCCACATGTGCCAATAACGGACAAACTAACTTCGGTAGAGATGGTTCCGAGACCAACTCAGAACGCAATAATATTTCGCGTATTAGGAATTCCCCAGATGTTCGTAGCGTCGAAGTGATCTTCGTTGGATCGACCTGACAGGATATCAAATATAATATCAAATTGGCGTATAAAATTCAGCGGTTCAGCCAACGACATTGCCATAGAGGACTTTATTTACCGTTGTTTAGGAGTGGGGTGGCTGGTAAATCCTCCGCAAAAGGATCAATAAAAGTTTATCCCACGAAGTAGAAAAACGTAGAAAAAAGAGTCCAGAAATTCGGGGGTCGAAAAATGACGTTGGCATGGAGCGCCCTTTGCATGCATTTATTGACATTCGTATTGGAACTGAAACTTGAGCTTAGCCTAAGGCCCGCTGTCGACCGAGAAGCCCAGCTTAACGGCGCGAGGGCGGGAGAGCGGGAGAACCGGGAATTGGAGCGGCGCAGCCGTCCCTAGAAGCGAGCGACGATCGGGAACACGGGAGCGTGCGATCGGGAATACCGAGGAGCGGAGAGCGGGCGAGCGTTGCTAAGCTGGAAGCGCTTGAGCTTTTGGACGCTCGGTGGGCAGAGGGGAAGCAGGGGCCTCCTGGCGTAAACATTCTCCCCCCTGCAATCCCTCGGGTTGCAATAAACCCGTACAGGACGATGGTATGGAGGGGCGTCAGAGC